TTTATTTAAAGATGACGTAATTGAAGAATTGTATTCCATGAGGTCAAGTACGTGTGTTTCCAAATGTCATTCCTTTACAATGCCACACACCAACTGATGATAAACTGGTATTGAGAAAGGAACAAATGTCATATATAGTAACAGGATATATATATCGTTTCTTCACCTCGTGTGTGATATGATATGCGACGTTGACTGTAACCTACATGTAACAAATGTAGTAGAATTATAATTCTGTGTAGCTGACGATGGGTGGGTGCTTAGGTTTGGTCTGTGCAACGAAATTTATCTTTCCTGAGCGACTGAATAATAACATCAGCGAATCGAAGATTACATTTTCTGCATGCTACGTTTCACACTAATTATATAAGATACCGTCAGCATGCATGATTTACTGTCATCTGGGCTTCAGAGCTACACATTTTATCTGCCCTAGCTTAACATACATGTTCAGTTGTTTCACAGATATTCTACATATCAAGAGCAATAGAAACGCTGTAGTGCAGCTCTAGCTGGAGACCACATTATTACAATTATCATCCCAGAGAGACATTATAGTTGAGCAATTGCTAATTATCCATCCGTCCTTCGAAACGACTAGTCACTCTGCCTCATATGAACACGGGGAAGAGAGAATGAGTGAAGGCTTTTAGCAATATTTTAGCAATATCACTGCGGTGGGCACCAGAAATGGGCTTCACACATTGAACCCATGTGAGGATTCGAACCCGGGTCTTAGGCGTGACGAGCGAACATTATAACCACTGGACTACCCTACCGCCCCTCACGCGGAAGAATGTGCAAGTGATAACTAATTGGGTTCTTCTGTCATTCGCAATCTGAAATTCCGGAAACTGAAATGGATGTAACGAACGAACTGTTAATAGAAATGTTGTTGATCATCACATTACCTGCGTTTGAAAGATGTTTTACAAGGCGTAGAAAGTCAACAATTAGAATGTATGTGAAATTATTGTCAACAAAATTCATGATACGTGGACCTTGCAGTGGACATTTGGAAGAGGTATGATAGTGTGTCCGTCTGTCCGTGTGGACGACTTGACTACAGCTGAAGAAGATCCAATCATGATTATAGTCCAATCATTGACATTTTCGTATTGCTGACACGTCTAACATCAAGTTCTGATCCATTCTATGGTCTTGTTCTTTCAGTTTTTAGGCTGCCGCTTACACATGTAGATAAGAGAGCAGTGACAACTTCACTGCTCTTATCTACATGTGTGAGCGGCATACTGAACCGCAGGTTCCTTTTGTGACCACACGTCAATTATCGACACTGCTGTGATGTTATTTCTTTATTATTGTTGGTCATAGTGTGTGACAACAAACTTAAAATGCACGATAAGAGGTATAACCCCCCACATAGGTCTATTATAATCTCTTTCACATACACACCATTTTGCCAAACTCCGCCTTTATATCAGTTTTGAAATCCGAAAATCCGAAATTCCTAAATCTTTGGTTGAAGCTATTGCGAGAGAGAGTGAGACGTTGTGTCCCCTCTCGTGCCGGGGCATCCCGCAGTGCTCACATATAGCCTAGAGTTTTTGATTTAGTCATACCAGTTGAACACACAGAGTGGTGTACGTCAGTGTCATATATGTATAGGCAGCATGGGGAATATTGCCTCGTGCTTCTCCGGACTTCAGTATCAGGTACGTCTTAATAACGCCCTTTTAGATCTGTTCATTAAGGTACACTAATGGTAGTAATATATGTACACATAATTTCTGTATGCTTAATAGTGGATATAAGGTAACGAAAATACTGTTCAAAGTCTTTATATACTCACTCCTGTTCCGGCAGACATTGTCTCTGTTTATCATTCCATATTCAGTATTATTGTGTGGAAGTTTATCATTCCATATTAAGTGTTATAGTGTGGAAGTTTATCATTCCATATTAAGTGTTATTGTGTGGAAGTTTATCATTCCATATAAAGTGTTATAGTGTGGAAGTTTCATCCCACCTGAAGAATAATACGGTATTTGAATTCAACGCCTTTCAGGAAATACTACAGCATATCATCTCAACACACAATTGATTGTGTATGATTTTCGTTCTAGAGAATGCACCAGTCAAGCAACGGGCTGATCGAACAGATCATAAGCAGAGGTGCGTTAAATTATAACTGCCCATTAAATTGATAATTTTGTGCGACATTCTTTATCATGATTTGATGATTTCATTTCAGAAATTTGGTAATATATGCCATATGTGTTCAGCATAACTTTCAACATATTTTGATCGTTATTATGATGACAAATATGTATATGGGACGATTTGTGCAACTTTTTTTTCTGTCAATTTGTATTGCTTATTTGGAATATCGGTGAGCATTGGAGATGAATAAAGGTTAATTCGATACCACATGTCAATCACACAAAACAGAAAGAAACCTGTTTATGTGAGCCTTTGTGGTAGAATTGGTGTTACATCAAGTAATACAGATTTCTGTGTAGGTTCAAAACGCTGTGTGAACGAGAGACTGAAGACTCCTGTAACTCCACGAGATCTCGGCCTTGTTGCGAGACATGTCGGGAATGGATTTGAGCACGTCGGGATTGAACTTGGGCTCAGCGTTGTGGCTATCCAACAGGGCAGAGTTGCACACCCATGTTCAATGTATATGCAGATCTTGATTATGCTCACTAAATGGAAGCAGTGGAATGGAAATTCGGCCACCTATCTGGACCTGGTCAAAGCACTATGGACATGTAAAGAGAGATGCACGATCGAATGGGAGGACATTCTCAACATCCTGCAGTGACGATCCTCCTTGTCAGTGTAATTGCACCTTGGTAGAAGAAATATTATATAAATATGAAAACAAACTGTGTTTTTATCATTTCGACCATACGTTTTTACCTTGTTCCGAAATATTGTAATCTCAGGTCTACTATACAGCAATCAGTAAACAGGGTCATATCATCAGTCATCATGTTTGGAAAATAAATATATTTATCAAATTACAGTTTCTTTGTGTTTTCTGCATTTGCAAGTTTACCCTAAGAACACGTGGAGTCAGATTGTACCAATGGCGGCTCCTACACGTGGAGTCAGATTGTACCAATGGCGACTCCTACCGGTTGGGCAGGACATGCGTGCACTTTCACAAGACGTGGTGTCATCAGTGATTATCAGTTATCCATTCCTATAGTTTCCCCCCCCCATTTTGCCTTATGCGCCCAATGGAATGTGTTTCGGTAGATAATCAAGACTGGTTATTCTCTGGCGTTGTATATTTATTAAGTTTAGAATGCTACGGATTGGGGCTTTCATGGGAAATATGTCCCGGAAATAATGAAAGTTCATAGTGATGCTTTTAATAAAGTCAGAATCGTAAAATGGAGTCGGCTTTCTACAGAGATTTCTTGTGATTATGCAAAGGGTTTTGTCGCTCTTATCCATACAAACATCTCTGACGAATTCAAATACCTCCACCTCGCAGTGATAATGATAAATTACTCAGAAATTCACAAACTTTCTAAATTGAATTGAATAAAAAACTGATTATTCAAGTAATCAGAACATTTTCGTAATTCGTAATTCGATCCCAGTGCTATACAACCTTCATATTGTACATCGTTTCAAATATTCAAACCGTCCCTCTGTTTATATCACCAGAAATAGCATAAGTAAGCGTAAACGTTTTCTCTCCCTTTCACACAACCTGAACAATAGGTTACAGGTACAATGGTTGTGGTGATCAAAAGATCAAAGTTTCATGTACATGAAATGAAGAACAAATTTGCTTCATGGTATGATTTAAAACAGGAAAATACTATTTCCATTTTGGAAAATGAGTTCAACACAAAACACAACATTTAAAGCCGTTTAAAAATCAGTGCATTTCATTTCATTATACCTTTCGTCATTATTACGTACATTTGCCACATTCAGAAAACAAAGTCATTTTAGCCCAGTACGAGCAGCTACAGGTGATGCTTCTATTGACAATACGCCTGTAAGCATTTTACCCACAGTATCCAGGTCTCGTCAGGATAACTTCCGTACTTTTCAAATGCTAACGTAATATCTGAAAACAGAGTTGCCTCCCTTTGACCAGCTACTGTAAACGTGGTATGCATTATTAAACCCTATCTATCCCTGACATTGTCTACAATTGACTTTGTTGACAGGATAATGTTTGTAACGGCGTTGGTAGTACAGCTTGCGATAACATGTAATTGAAATGAAATCTTGATAATTTGAGATCGGCAAGGGACAATCACCATGTTTCGTCAATATCGGGTGTGAGTGGGGCTGAATCTAATTTCCTTTCTAATTAAATCTCCAGAGTGTGTGAGTGAGTGAGTTGGGTTCAACGCTGCTTTTAACAGTATTACAGTTATATCACGGCGTGTCAGCTTAATGTGAGAGGAAAGCCCGAAGTGATGCAGGTCTCAGACGTTTACCGCTTCGGTGAAACCCAAGAGGACGGGTATGGTGCTGACAAACCTAGAAACATAATCTGGGCAAACCGGGATTCGAACCCAGGATCACAGGTGTCTGGCGTGCCCAAGGGACGCAACTCTACACAGCAAAAGGCGGCGCCCTAGACGACTGGGCCACCGTACCCCGAAAATCTGCAGGTTTGACGTTGCGTTCAAGAATTCTGCTCTTATATGAAGTAACGTGCATGCACGCGTGTGTATATATGTATGTGTGTCTGCTCATGTCGTTTTTACAGAACAAGCCACTGATACACCATACCGAAGTTTTAACATGAATACCCCACTCTGACACAATATACTGACCACAAATTGACCAGTCTTATCCCCTTAATGCTGAGCGCCAGGCGGGGTAACAAGAGCACCATATTTTAACGTCACTGGGCAGATACTCTCTCCCTTTACGCAGATGCTTAACGAAGTTCAGGTGTGGTATACATACCCTCAATATACAATTATACAGACACTCCAAAGATAATGATGTTTTAACATCGATGTGTCCTTTCTGCAAATATAACCAAGAAAATGAATACCATGTTTTATTGATATTTCCAGTATATGAGGATATAAGAATCAAATACCTGCCTAACTATTATTATACGTATCCATCACGAAGAAAATTTGTACAGTTAATGAACAGCAAAAATAGCCACATTCTTCTCAGACTTGCAGTTTGTGTTTATAAGATATTTGAAAGAAGGATAATACATTGAATATAAATAAAACTGTGTACACCATATTTAGCTACAGTCTAATCTAAAGTGATGCTTCACGACGAATCGTTTTACAAAAACAGTCATTATGTTCCTGAATATGAGGTCCCCGTGAACGTACTTTAAAGTCTATATTGCAACAGGTTTTATGGCTTCGTTTTGGGAGTGAGACTTCACAACTCTGACACTGGAAATGGTGCAGAAACAAATCAAAGTGACAATACCGACTATGATAGAAAGACACCCACGTGTTCCTGCAAGTACATATTTTACACAGCGACATGTAGCTGCAAACATTCATTGTGTACGTCAATCTGAACTCACTCCCACTAATTTCAACAAAATACTTTGCTTTAAGAAAGTTTGGAACACACTGAAATCTGCATATGTTCAGTTATAAACATTTGAAAGAAACTGTTATGTAATCTTCTAAACATGAAAGTTAGCCATGTTCCTAGATTTTGTAACGTACAATGCGTTTTTTATGGAATCGAGATGGGAACAGAAACGTTAAAACTACATTGACACAAATCACCGAAATGGTAAACGTCTGAGACCTCCATCACTTCGGGCTTTCCTCCCACATTAAGCTGTCACGCCGTGATATAACTTGAAAACTGTTAAAAGCAGCGTTAAATCCAACTCACACACTCACTCGATTCAACTTAACACAATGCCTAAGGAAAGTTCGGTTCACACTGAAATACGCATATGTCCAGTTAGGAACATTTGAAAGAATCTATTATGTAATTCTCTAAGCAATATAAAGGATTTTTTCGTCATGAAGTTAGCTATGGTCCTAGCATTTGTAGAGTAAAATGTTTGCTTTTATGGAATTGATATGCTTACCGAAACATCAATGCTACATCGACACAAGTGACAAATAACTCGTTTTTTTCTGCAAACCAAATTCGGACGACTGACTCCTAAAGGAGGTTGTAAAACTGTATATGTATACTGTATCACTGGACACCATACTAACAATGATAACTCCTTTCTAGACCACTTTTAGAGCTGCTGCAGCTCTATCTTTTCCCCAGACTCAGTGTAGTGAATGATGACATTCTCAGAATTACTAGTGGTATCTGAACTAGGCACTGTGTCACCAACTACTGGAGCATGGACACAGGTGGGAACATGACTTGAGTTTCCATATATAGCTTCTGATCTTTGATTGGGTGAACGTATCTCCATGCGTGCAGGATCTGTATGGAGGTTGTTAAGATTTCCGTCTATATGATATGGTTGGGATGACTGCAAAGCGATCTCTTCAATAACACTTTGTCTGTCTGTGGAAACTGCTTGTCCCAGTTGACTCGGAACATAAACCCCTGGCAATTCTATTGATGCGTGGTTCACGGGGCACGTTGATGTTGGTGGTGTGGATGTAAGCCAACCGCCATTGTTATAGCTTCCGTGTGGAACTGACGATGATTTCATAAGAAACTGGCCATCGGTTGTCACCCTGAAACAATACCACATGCACTTGACACAACATTTCAGAGAAAATAGGACTTTATCAAAATAGTGATGCTATTGTGACATATAATACAAAATCAAGATGTAAAAGACTCCAGCGCTTTCGAATTCGTATCTAATGAAAAAGACTCCAAACTAAATGAAAGCCCCACATACTCATAAACGTAAACCACTGAATCATTCAATATTATACACAGTGAAGCCTAATTAAGTTCAAATATTGGTTAACATAATTTCAGTGTTTTTGCAAAGTCCCCATTGACATATGTAGCCCATAGAAAATAAGGTTTCACTTGAAACAAATAGCGATAGAGTTCATTTCACCACAATGCATTTCTACAAGGTCCCTTAAACAACATACTTAAAGTCCCAAGCAATCCAAGTTTGGGAAATATGTCTAATTTACATAATCCAATATGGCAACCGACTGTCAATAGTATTTTCCTTATTTCAGATGAGGTTCAATGATTTGATGAAAAACAGCATGTGTTGTGTTGCAAAATAGCCATATTACGTTTCTAAAAAGATATTCACAACTATTGATCGTTTTCGACTATTGACAAATCTACAAAACATCAAGATGGCCGACACATTTCCTAAATATGAGGTTAGGCTGTGGAAGCTTTTATCTCTGAAACAGTGTGCTGGGACTTATATGCATAAAACTTGTCACACTAACTGACTGGCCCAAAAATCCAAGATGACCTCCAAGACATGGACAGACATGGAATATCAATACACTGTTGGTCTCTCATGACATATTTGATTGATTGATTTGGGACTTTTAGTATGTTGTTTCTGGGGCCTTGTAGAAATGCACTGTCCATATTATTTTTTAGCTGAAATAGATATTTGATTTATGTCTGATGGTACTGTCCTCTTCGAGGTCTCATATGGTTTCGTGAGGTTTCAAAACTGTTCTGCAAAACAGCGTACACAATATATGTGTTTGGGCTGTCAACTCAAGCATCATTTCCAAATTGCTCTTACCTATCTATAATTGTACCATGGTTGGTTGTCAGGTCATGTATATTTGTTGCCTCAGTTATAATCCTTGCAATATCATCGTGATGTTGTGCCTCTGCTTTTTGTAAAGCAGTTTCTTCTTTATCGTCTTTCTCATAAACATTTGCCTTGTTCTGTGTACCTCCACAACCTTCCTATGTCCCTGCCAGGCTGCAAGATGTAAAGGTGTGCAGCCTTCCTTATCTTTCTCATTCACATTTGCATTGTTCTGTAATAACACCTCCACAACCTCCCTATTTCCCTCGTGGGCTGCATCATGTAGAGGTGTGCTGCCTTCCTTATCTTTCTCATTCACATTTGCCATGTTCTGAAATAACACCTCCACAACCACCCGATGTCCCTGGTTGGCTGCATCATGTAGAGGTGTGCAGCCTTCCTTATCTTTCTCATCCACATTTGCATTGTTCTGTAATAACACCTCCACAACCTCCCTATTTCCCTCGTGGGCTGCATCATGTAGAGGTGTGCTGCCTTCCTTATCTTTCTCATTCACATTTGCCATGTTCTGAAATAACACCTCCACAACCACCCGATGTCCCTGGTTGGCTGCATCATGTAGAGGTGTGCTGCCATCATACGTTTCTCATCCATATTTGCCTTGTTCTGTAATAACACCTCCTCAATCACCCGATGTCCCTGGTGGGCTTCACGATGTAGAGGTGTGCTGCCATCTTGACGTTTCTCATCCACATTTGCATTGTTCTGTAATAACACCTCCACAACCTCCCCATGTCCCTACCAGGCTGCATCATGTAGAGGTGTGCTGCCATCTTGACGTTTCTCATCCACATTTGCCTTGTTCTGTAATATCACCTCCAGAACCTCCCTATGTCCCTGGTTGGCTACATCATGTAGAGGTGTGCGGCCTTCCTTATCTTTCTCATCCACATTTGCATTGTTCTTCAATAACACCCCCACAACCTCCCTATGTCCCTGCCAGGCTGCATGATGTAGAGGTGTGCCGCCTTCCTTATCTTTCTCATCCACATTTGCCTTGTTCTGTAATAACACCTCCACAACCTCCCTATGTCCCTGGTCGGCTGCACGATGTAGAGGTGTGCTGCCATCTTGACGTTTTTCATCCACAATTGCCTTGTTCTGTAACAACACCCCCACAACCACCCGATGTCCCTGCCAGGCTGCACGATTTAGAGGTGTGCGGCCTTCCTTATCTTTCTCATCAACATTTGCCTTGTTCTATACCTCCACACCCTCCCTATGTCCCTGGTAGGCTGCAAGATGTAGTAGAGTGCTGCCATCTTGACGTTGCTCATGCACATTTGCCTTGTTCTGAAATAACACCTCCACAACCTCCCTGTGTCCCTGGTCAGCTGCACGATGTAGAGGTGTGCATCCTTCATCATCTTTCTCATCCACTTGGCCTTGATCTGTAATAACACCGACACACCCTCCCTATGTCCCTGGTAGGCTGCAAGATGTAGAGGTGTGCTGCCATCTTGACGTTTCTCATGCACATTTGCCTTGTTCTGTAATAACACCTCCACAACCTCCCTGTGTCCCTGGTAAGCTGCAAGATGTAGAGGTGTGCTGCCATCTTGACGTTTCTCATGCACATTTGCCTTGTTCTGTAATAACACCTCCACAACCTCCCGTTGTCCCTGGTCAGCTGCAAGATGTAGAGTTGTGCTGCCATCTTGACGTTTCTCATCCACATTTGCCTTGTTCCGTAATAACACCTCCATAACCTCCCTATGTCCCTGGTCAGCTGCAAGATGTAGAGGTGTGCGGCCTTCCTTATCTTTCTCATGCACATTTGCCTTGTTCTGTAATAACACCTCCACAACCTCCCTATGTCCCTGGTAGGCTGCAAGATGTAGAGGTGTGCAACCTTCCTTATCTTTCTCATCCACATTTGCCTTGTTCTGTAATAACACCTCCACAACCATCCGATGTCCCTGGGAGGCTGCAAGATGTAGAGTTGTGCTGCCATCTTGACGTTTCTCATCCACATTTGCCTTGTTCTGTAATAACACCTCCACAACCTCCCTATGTCCCTGCCAGGCTGCACGATTTAGAGGTGTGCGGCCTTCCTTATCTTTCTCATCCACATTGGCCTTGTTCTGTAATAACAGCTCCACAACCTCCTTATGTCCCAGGAAGGCTGCATCATGTAGAGGTGTGCAACCTTCCTTATCTTTCTCATCCACATTGGCCTTCTTCTGTAATAACACCTCCACAACCTCCCTATGTCCCTGGTAGGCTGCATCATGTAGAGGTGTGCAGCCTTCCTTATCTTTCTCATCCACATTTGCCTTCTTCTGTAATAACACCTCCACAACCTTCCTGTGTCCCTGGTAGGCTGCAAGATGTAGAGGTGTGCTGCCATCTTGATGTTTCTCATCCACACTTGCCTTGTTCTGCAATAACACCCCCACAACCTCCCTATGTCCCTGGGAGGCTGCATCATGTAGAGGTGTGCGGCCTTTCTTATCTCCCTCATCCACATTGGCCTTGTTCTGTAATAACACCTCCACAACCTCCCTATGTCCTTGCCAGGCTGCATGATGTAGAGGTGTGCCGCCATCATTATCTGTCACATGAATTATTCCCTTGTTCTGTAACAACATTTTAACAACTTCTGCGTTTCCATATATACATGCCAAATGAAGTCCAGTTTTACCATTCTCGTTTTGCTCACCAATGTCCACTCGTTCCTGTAACAGATAGCTTACAATGCTAACATTTCCAACTGCACATGCGTAATGTAAAGGTGTTGATCCTTCAGGACCTATGTTATTGATGCTACGTTGTCCCTTCTTTATAACTATATCCATGATATCTTTGCCCTGTTGACACATGGCTGCATAATGTACATATGTATTTTTTCTTGAACTGTTCTTGGTCTTGCTCGTCTTCATCAAATGTGTCAGTCTGGAAGCCACCAAAGACAACCCACCCATACAGGCAATGTCCAAAAGTGAACATTTACCAAACTTTACTCTCAGATCATCTACAACTGCCAACTGCAGTTTGATGATAAGAGGTCTTGGGAGTTCGGGTAGCGTCATACACAACGTATCCAACTTCCAGTTATTTTTGGAACACAAGTACTCGAAGTTGGCCAAACTACTCCCAAAGCAACTTCCAAACAAAGCTTCCTGTCTGTTCTTTACCGTAAACTGAACACTGTTCAATGCTTTCCTCAGTAAATTCGAGTTGTCTGTGACGCTCGCCCAAAACAGAAAGGAATATCCATATACAATGTCATTTTTTGACAATACTTTCAACAGTTCAGATCTGTCCTTGTTCAGATTATGCAAGAGATTCTCCCAAACCATATCAACAAATGTCTCTACCTGGAATAGGGAATGCATGCACACAAAGGCAAACTTTCTGCCATGTACAGCTGCAACACACCGCTTCGCTATAATATGCAGATCATCATGTTTCAATTCGATTTTAAAAGGCACATCTAGTAGTTCCGCTTCGGTTGGATCACCGCTAGATGTCACATAACGAAATATGAACTCCATATCCATCCTTTCAACCAACTGTCTCACATCACTGAGCAGTATTTCTCTTAGCTTTATTGCTACTTCATGATTTCTTATTCTATATGAGCCTGCTTCATGATGGAGACAGCATCCCGCCAATTGGGATAAAATAGGTTTCATCACATTTTCAGTGTATTCTTCTTCATTGATGTCAAAAACCTTGAGTGCCCAAACAATATATTTTTTGTAGTTTTCTCTTTCCACGCGAGTCCCTGTGTCAGACCCTGCCCATAGCATCCTCTCCTCCAGGTTATTCTCCGCCAAAGCAACCACTAACAAGCACGCCATCTCCTGCTTATGCAACAGGTGCTGATCCAAACATGGATAGTTCTCTGTATCTGTGAAAATAAATAACGTTTGTAAGAAAGCAGTGTCGACATTGCACATGTGGATATAAAATATAATACCTTGCGTAACGCCTTACAATTACGTAACATAGTAATGATCTCCAGAATGCATACTTTCATCACTGGCGACAGCACAGTCGGTTCCTTCATGTGTTTCATGTCCATCCTCTTCATGAATAGTTGGACCTCCTTGTTCTGTTGTCATTGTACAGCTATTTTCCAGTACATCTCTTGTCTCCAGCGTTACAGTTTGAATTTCGTTTGGGACATTACCCTGTCCATCAACTGCCGTCATGTGATTTCCCCCACCTTGCATATCTCCCTTGTCCTTGGCATACTGTAGTATCCTCTGAAGCACATACAGCCTGTATTTCTCAACGTGACAGTTCCTCATGATGCCTGGGGACTTCTCCGACAAAATTGCATCAGCAGCCTGAGAATATGAAGGTTAGAAATGAAAAGGTATCTTTCATACGTGGTTATTGAGACACATGTGCCTTTCATATCAAACACATAGCTTCAAACCAACCTACCATCAGAACGAATATCCCACAGCTGTGTCCATCAGACTGTTCTATCACTGGGTACTGTTTCTTCATCCATGACTTGCTCCCTTCCTTAGACGTAGATTTCAAGTGGTTTACAAAGAGCCTGAGGAATACATGTTTATTACTCGATGGCGATAACATCCTAGACTCATGTGGACTGGTGTTAAAGTAAAGGTAAAGCAGAAGGTAAATACAGTAGTGCCTTTAATATCTGCTTCAAGTTATATGGCATTTCTGATGTTTTCTCCTGCTTTGTCCATCATTAGGTTTAATGTTAGCAAATACAGATGTTATTGTTTAAATGAATGAGTGACATAACTGTATTTATGGCGTTTAAGTAATTCCCACAGTGTACCCATTTGGGGAACTGAGTAACCCTGTGAACAAGTTGTTCTATATCTTCTACCCAAAAGTAAAAGCTACAAATGTGAGTGTATCAAGAATTTATCGATGGATCTTATTTACATTCATGTTTGTTTTTGACAAATCACCATTTCAACATTTCAAATTGGAAAGCTTGGTTTTAACATTTATAATGTGCAGCCACACGTCCTGTTTTTTGGTGTGTTTTTTTGTATCTACCTCTAGTGTTGTTTAAAAATAGGTCTTCCACATCTAAGGCGGGTTAGGAATTGACCACGCCCACTGTTCTGTCCACCTACCTCCAGTGTTCTACAACTTTGTCCTCCACATCTAAGGAGGGTTTAGAACTAACCACGCCCACTGTTCCATCCCTGACATTAGCCACCAGTAGCACCCAATGTTGATTACGTGGCATGTTCACTGGCATTAAGATCCACGTGTAGTTTGTCAAAGTTTCCTGAAAGTTCACAGCAAATGCCTTTCCAGTGTACGATCAATATATCCAAAAACACGTGCTTCACATAAGATGGATATGGTGTAGTAACAGAGATATAAGTGAATTGGTATTATGGACTTGGTACTGAGAACTTCTAAAGAACTCTCTCTGACAACCAGATTTTCACTTCGTACGATAATATGTAGCAAGATGAATATGTTCATGTGCAATATCTGCTTTTGTAACTGCATATTGAAAACGAATAGCATTATGATCAATGGGGTTACTGGCTTTGACTCAATCGAAACACATTGCAGTACATGAATCCATCATGTGCACAATTGCAAGTGGCAATTACTATCATACTGAATACGCAATCATGGCATAGACGAATCATATGTTATCACAAAAAATATACAACTACTACAAAATATCTTTCGAGTCTTGACCTTGTTCTTGGTAGGGTGGACATGCAAAGATACACTCGGAATGACAGAATCATAAGAAATATAAAAATCTCACATCACTCACATCTTTCCCCCTTATCCTGTCTGTGTACTGTCCTGCCTCCCACAGTAGGATTGTCTCTGTAGGCAGCACCAGACAGTGGAAGCTGACACGGGAACACCACTCTCTCTCCAGGAGGTGCAGGTATGTGTCCATGATCTGGACAGGTAAGAGTTCATTTATTAGAATGTTTATTATACTGTTTAATCGCCCAATGCTTTCGCTTCAAAAGGAACGCTTGTAGTTTCAAATCAAAGCAGGATCCGCTGCACATCACATATCCATCATGAAGAGAATATCTCGGCTGTTAGCAATGACTGACATTTGAACTGATGATGTACTAGATTGTGTGCACATTGCCCATTGCAGGTGAGTAGTGTTATCATTGCAGAATCGAGATGCATGGCAATGAGTTGATAATTAGCACTAGTATATATTAATTGATAGTCAACAAATACTGGTGCAAAAAGAAGAAACCGCCAAAAGTTGCTGTATTAATCTAACACGTCCCATTTTAATTCTGGAAACCCAAAAGTCCAGAAACTCTACGCTCTTTGCCCAGTCTCGGTTAAAGGTATTTACAAAATTAAACATGCCGTTTTCATGGGAACATACCAAGGAAGAAAAAATGAAAAAAAAATTGTTTAAAAACTCAATATTTAGACTATGTCGCCCATGGGCCTGCCCATGGGCGAAGTGTTGCCCATGGGCCTGCCCATGGGCGAAGTCTGGCCCATGGGTAGGCCCATGGGCAGGCCCATGGGCGAGAATATGTTCCTTTACTTAAAACTCATGATTTTGTTTCGCAAATACATTTAATGTATTCATTCAAGTATCATGACACAAAATTTAACTCATTTTAACTTAATTCAACGATTTTGTAGCGATATTGAAATATTTCGCCCATGGGCGAGAAAAAGGTTTGGCCCATGGGCGAGAATGTGTTCCTTTACTTAAAACTCATGATTTTGTTTCGCAAATACATTAAATGTATTTATTGAAGTATCATGACACAAAATTTAACTCATTTTAACTTAATTCAACTATTTTATAGCGATATTGAAATATTTCGCCCATGGGTAGGCCCATGGGTAGGCCCATGGGCGAGAATATGTTCTTTTACTTAAAACTCATGTTTTTGTTTTGCAAATACATTTATTGTACTTATTCAAGTACCATGACACAAAATTTAACTCATTTTAACTTAATTCAACGATTTTATAGCGATATTGAAATATTTCGCCCATGGGCGAGAAAAAGGTTTGGCCCATGGGCGAGTATATGTTCCTTTACTTAAAACTCATGATTTTGTTTCGCAAATACATTTAATGTACTTATTCAAGTACCATGACACAAAATTTAACTCATTTTAACTTAATTCAACGATTTTATAGCGATATTGAAATATTTCGCCCATGGGCGAGAAAAAGGTTTGGCCCATGGGCGAGAATATTTTCCTTTACTTAAAACTTATGTTTTTGTTTCGCAAATACATGCAGGTGTTCTTACTATTTTCATGGCACATAATGTAACTCAATTTTACTCAATTCAGCTATTTTACAGATTTATTGAAATATTTCGCCCATGGGCGAGCAAAGGTTTTGCCTTCGAAATCCTTGATTATTCTATCATGCCAGAGTTCTGAAATTCAGTGACAATGTTGGTGAACAGTAGAATCTGATGGACGTATTGTGCAGAACCTGTTTGACACTATGGGTTCCAGGACCACTAACACTGTGAGCTGAAAAAGTTTGGTCCTAACCGCACCCAACATCTTTAATGAACCCGGCCTTATCTCTCAAAACGTTTTGGCAGTTTATCATACGAATTCATGTGCGTGTACAACATTAAATTTTAGTTAGTTTCTATTTCATTTCCCATTTTATGACCCGTTGATACATCCCAATGTGCAATTACGTGACAGGTACGCGTGCGCGTATTTTAATGGAAAGAAACTATTCGTCTTTTATTGCATAACGTTTGGCTGAATATCTTACATTCTAACGAAATCTCGAAATAATTATTTAATTACATGCGGTTTCGAACTGACCAGTGGGAATTATGTTTCAATGCGATTGAGGAAAACGGGAGTGAATATTGTGACACTAAAGCAACTTTTAACTGCATTGTCACTTTTGGTTTGAAAATGGTAATAGTTAAGAAAAACGTAACAGCCTTCTTATGATAATTCTCATATTCTCATTAGTACGTTGTGTCTAATTACAGTGTCGGCCTTATTTACAGGTGATTCTACAATACTTGTTGTCGGTCAATTACAATCTGCCACACCACGCGTGAATAAACAGTTATGCAGGTGTTGCTGTGGGCAAATACCTAGCCTGTACATGTATATTTTTGTGGATACATGTATTACATATTTTCGTTGATATGTGGATATATTAAGCACCAAGACACAAAAAGTTTATGAAAGATGAATTTGTGCCTTGATATATATATATTCAACGCGAACGAAGCTTGTATTTTCTCCGCGATCCTGATGTGTATCATCGTTTAATTGGTCATTCATTTAAAGTATGTTGTGAGGCGATATCTAAGGAGCCGCTCAATATACACAGTGTCGTCCGTTTCGCGTGAACTACCACCCTACCCTGTCAGTAAGAGTTATGTAATCGGTACACAAATATATTTGGTGCGATGTCAGTGTGGAAGGAGTTTGAATTACGTCCGTTAGTGGCCACAGAAAGTATAGTACCAATCAACAAGGCCAATGCGTACTAATAACCTAGTGACTCGCGTAACAACGGCTGTCAATATGTCTGCTACATCTACCATACCATCATCCCTGTCACAACTGGCGTATTAACGGTTTATTCAAAAAATTATTGTAGAAATGTCGTTACCAGACTAACGTACGTCGTATTCAGTCCTCAACTGGATGTCACATTCCTTATATCAGTTAACAGCCCTGTTTGTGAAAATATTTACTAGACATAAGATTTAAAGACTTATAAAATCAATTGTAAGACCGCATAGACCACAAAACCGAATAAAATATGTCTTGGTATCATCTCTTGTGTATTAGATGATGGCAATGACCGGAAATGTTATAACGTTAGATTAAGAAGGAGAAACATTAAAGTGTTTTACAATACTTGGAAACATGAGCAATAAGATGTAGCAACATAAACATGCATGGAATAGGGAAAAAGGATGAAAACAAATTGAAAAGGATTTTAATACAAAATTATCGAACCAAATTACTTGCCTGAACAGAAGGGGTACCCAAACTTGTTTGACAGTTATTCGTGTGTTGTAGACTGTCGAATGGGACTCATGTGTGTACGTAGGGTACGCATATCTATTGCAAGTTTTAGTACTCATACACTTTCTCTTTTTGTGTTTTGTTTGTTTGTTAGTTGTATAACGCCACACTTAGCAATATTTCAGCTGTATGACGGCGGTCTGTAAATAATCGAGTCTGGACCAGACAATCCAGTGATTGACATCATGTGCATCGATCCACGCAATTGGGATACGATGCCATGCATCAACCAAGTCAGCGAGCCTGACCACCCGATCCCGGTAGTCGCTTCTTACGACAAGCACTGTCGCCCTTTTACGCCAAGAATGGTTTGTTGAAGATCTTCACGGGTCTATTGAATGCAGGGATTTGTGTAAAGTCATCAGACAGCATACAATGCCAACTAAACAAATATACTCAGTGTCTCCGCAAAGTAATATAGTACGGTACTTAGAGTACATGTGAGATTATACTCAGATTAGGGAGATGTTTAATCCATATAACGTGTTATTATTCTACCTAACAATGTATTTAATGAAATGAATGCAAAACAAACTCAACGGCTAAAAGGTTTCATTGAAAAAACTACCCCTAGTCTTGACTAATAAAACAACTGCAACCCGACACAGATTAAACGCAACTTACAAACACAATCATAATCTGGTTAGTCTGTATCACTCAACGAGGCCGCTTACTCTGCCCACAGTATGACAGTATTGGGCAGTTCAGTAATTAGGAGCCAAAACCAGGCAGGTACGCTGGTCACACTTGACTGGTCTGACTGATGATTAGGTCGTCTGACAATTGTGAGTGAACCATAGCAAGAAGTATCTGCGAAACTATTTGCTCCTTTTATGGGACCGATTAGTTTTATGACCATGGGCCTCGGCACAAGCGTGGTGTTGGAAGACAAGTTATACATGTACATCCGATATGGTTACTGTTTTTCGCTATTCATATTCTAAATACATTCATAATACCACAACATTTTAGTACTCCTTGAAACTTTACAATCACTTCAATATGTACAATAGATTGAACGAGAACACTTGATATATTGCAGATTATTAAATCATTGTCTCTATTATCAGCCGCTACGTTTGTATCGTTTGCATTGTACAAAGAAATATTTTATCTGTCCTTTTGCAGATTTAGCCTCAGAATGTGCTCATTCGAATTAGGAACGAAAATAATTGCTTATCATGAGTATATATGATACAGTTAAAAGTTACTTGTACACTGTAGACGTATTCACTTTAAAGTCGCATACGACCATCGCGAGCGAGTTGAATGATCTAGGTTAATTGGAACGAAGTCTAGAGAGGGTTATAAAGTTTTGTATTTGGTAATGTGTAGGTTTGTTCCTTTTATTTCAATATGTAAAAACATAACTATGCGCTTAAAAACAGAGCTGACTTGATGGGAGATAGCCACCTCAGATTGTCTGTTGGACACGGTTTAACCTTACTGTGTCCTCACTCTGGTTGTTGTTACCGTTGTTATAAGGGATTAAGAGCTACGGCTCATTGCATTTTTGGTTACAGTCTGTATCACTAAAGTGGACATGTGCAGGTGAACTCTGTTCAATTAGTACATGAAATGCCCCAAAATGTGAACTCCAGACAATAATAACCTGAGGGTAAATCCACGTGCGTCTGCCTTTCCCCTCGTTCACCTTCGAAATCCTTGATTATTATATCATGCCAGAATTCTGAAATTCAGTGACAATGTTGCTGAACAGTAGAATCTGATGGACGTTTTGTGCAGAACCTGTTTGACACAATGGGTTCCAGGACCACTAACACTCTGAGCTGAAAAAGTTTGGTCCTAACCGCACCCAACATCTACAAGTTTGTAAGCTTGTAGACATCATTAAGAAGTAATTAACAGTCCCATGCTGAGACCTTTCTCAAAATTCAGACCGGTGGCAGGCTGCCAACAAAGAGAAGAAAATATCGCAACCCCGACACGAGAGTGCTCAGTCAAACAATGAACTTACGACCGGCAGAAAACAACTCCAGTTGAGTATGCCGATGCTGTATCTCAGCCGTGTTGGCCTGAAAATTTAAACATGCTAATTAAATCCAAAATCGTATCATTATATTTAATAGAAACCGTATCTTAATTTGTTCTTGCACTGCATCATATCGTGTATTTCATCTGTATATGTGTAATGTGTATATGTATCAATGACTACACTTATACCGCATATTCTGCAACAGACTATAATTAATCACCTTATTATTGTCTCTCCATTTACCATGGCTGACTGCACTAATACCCTTTTAACAGTGGACACCGATATCAGTATACATGTAGGCTTTTTGTTCAAAAAGGAATATGCAGGAAATTATATGTAACAATTAACTGTGTACTAATTACATGTTTGAATGTTATCAGTTTTACGTTCTGAGATACAGTGATGTAAGCATCTTCTAAAATCTTCTAAAAATATAATAAAATACAAAACTCTCTGTCGTAATTTTTTGTGGAAATCATTCGATCAAGTAAAAATGACTGCGTGACAAGACGAATCAACTATTTATACCCGATAAAAGAAACTGCCGTATTTTAGGAACAGTGCTATAACAAGACATTCGAAATTTCTAACAAGCAGATACATTAGAGACAGTGACTAGACTACAGGTACGTAATCCGTATCAATCAAAGGTGTAAAAAAACTGAAAATCATATCTGTCGGAGACCTACCAAATTACCAAGTTTTATCATTACTATATTTATTACAATGCAAATACTTTAGTGATACATTTTTTAGAGGAGAGGGCATACACACAAGTATATTGCTTCCGTGTGTGAATGCAGGTTGTACTTGGTATCTCAGTTCTCAGTTTCATACCGGTTGTATAACTGAATTTGTATATGGAACCATGCGTACAGCATGACAATTATTTGCTATTCGTCAGTTTACAACACACATAACACGGTCAAACAATTTTAGGCACCGCTTTTGCGAGTTATTTAGTACAATAATGTTTTATTAAAATCTATTTCAATTTGTTTTCACCATTTTCCCTATTGACAGTCGTTGTTACGTGCGTCACTAGGTAATTAGTACGGATTGACCTTGTATATTGTTTCTGTGGCAACTGGCGGACGTAATTCAAACTCCTTCCGCACTGACACCGCATCAAATATATTTGTGTACCGATTACATAACTCTAATGGACAGGGTGGGGTGGTAGTTCACCGGACGACACTGTGTATATTGGGCGGCTCCTTTGATATCTCCTCCAAACATACGTTTATTGAATGACCCCATTAAACGATGATACACATCTCGATGAATATATCAAGGCACTAATTCATCTTTCATAAACATTTTTTTGTCTTTGTGCTTAATATATCCACATATCAACGAACATTTGTAAAACATGTATCCTAAAAAAAATAAACATTTTCAGGCTAGGTATTTGCCCACAGCAACACCTGCATAACTGTTTATTCACGCGTGGTGTGGTAGATCGTAATTGACCGAGAGCAGGTATTGTAGAATCACCTGTAAATAAGGCCGACACTGTAATTAGATACAACGCAACGTACTAATGAGAATTATCATAAGAAGGCTGTTGTTTTTTCTGAACTGTTACCATTTTCATACCAAAAGTGACAATGCAGTTAAAAGTTGCTTTAGTGTCACAATATTCACTCCCGTTTTCCTCAATCGCATTGAAACATAATTCCCACTGGTCAGTTCGAAACCGCATGTAATTAAATAATTATTTCGAGATTTCGTTAGAATGTAAGATATTCAGCCAAACGTTATGCAATAAAAGACGAATAGTTTTTTTCATTAAAATACGCGCACGCGTACCTGTATATTGCATACCTAGTGTCACGTAATTGCCCAGTGTGATGTATCAACGGGACATTAAATGGGAAATGAAATAGAAACTAACTAAAATTTAATGTTGTGGAAAATAACTCCAATGAATTGGAGTACACGCACATGAATTCGTATGATAAACTGTCAAAACGTTTTGAGAGGTAAGGCCGGGTTCATTAAAGATCGCTACAATATGTAAAACAGGTGAAATTTGTAGAACTAAAGGAAACATCCAACCAAATGCCCTTTTTAAATAGTAATGTAATGATATAATATAAAGTATATTTCACATGATACAATATACTTTGCAAACAGTTAGTTGATGCTTGAAAGGGACTGACGAAAACATGGGCGAAATATTTTAATAACGCCGTAAAATAGTTGAATTAAGTAAAAATTAGTTAAATTTTGTGTCATGATACTTCAATAAATACATTTAATGTATTTGCGAAACAAAAACATGAGTTTTAAGTAAAGGAACATATTCTCGCCCATGGGCCAAACCTTTTTCTCGCCCATGGGCGAAATATTTCAATATCGCTATAAAATCGTTGAATTAAGTTAAAATGAGTTTAATTTTGTGTCATGATACTTGAATGAATACATTAAATGTATTTGCGAAACAAAATCATGAGTTTTAAGTAAAGGAACATATTCTCGCCCATGGGCCAAACCGTTTTCTCGCCCATGGGCGAAATATTTCAATATCGCTATAAAATCGTTGAATTAAGTTAAAATGAGTTAAATTTTGTGTCATGATACTTCAATAAATACATTTAATGTATTTGCGAAACAAAATCATGAGTTTTAAGTAAAGGAACATATTCTCGCCCATGGGCCAAACCGTTTTCTCGCCCATGGGCGAAATATTTCAATATCGCTATAAAATCGTTGAATTAAGTTAAAATGAATTAAATTTTGTGTCATGATACTTGAATGAATACATTAAATGTATTTGCGAAACAAAAACATGAGTTTTAAGTAAAGGAACATATTCTCGCCCATGGGCCAGACTTCGCCCATGGGCAGGCCCATGGGCGACATAGTCTAAATATTGAGTTTTTAAACAATTTTTTTTTCATTTTTTCTTCCTTGGTATGTTCCCATGAAAACGGCATGTTTAATTTTGTAAATACCTTTAACCGAGACTGGGCAAAGAGCGTAGAGTTTCTGGACTTTTGGGTTTCCAGAATTAAAATGGGACGTGTTATCTTAAGATGGGTGCTCATAGAGTCCAAGGCGCCGCATTTCGATATGCAGATTCGCCATGGGAATCAACAAAGTGGTTAACGTCAAAGATGTGCATCACTTTCTTCATAATTTAATCCAACTCACCATGACACTACTGTCAAAAAGAGGCGTTTAACCAAACTCAAGCTCTAGCTCGCCTACCTCAAGGCACTATCAATGAGTATTAGGTGACTGAACCACTCACCACCCTCACGCCCCCAGTTAATATCTAATACTGACATCATTTGATAAAATCGAAGGCCTCTCATGCTCTATGAAATGATTTTCTTGGATGGTTAACTAGGCATGTAGTTTGTGTGATTGTGTAAATATTGCAGGTGGACTACTTACTTCATCTGTCAGCCATTCGTTGGTTTCCAGGCGAGACAGAACATCTCCTCTAATGGTGTAGCAGCCAACTGTGTATGTACAGTCACGTGACAGGGGGACGTCCTCTTGTACATGCTGCAGGTGTGAAGGAGGATCCTTCAGTGTTTTCACAAAGTCCTGTACTTCAGTCCTGGTATGGCATGCTCCAACAAGCACTGCTGCGATGAGGTTTATGTAAACTGACTGGTCTTGGTTCAAGCTCAGCACGTCAGTATTTACAGAACATTTAACCCAGTTCCTTGCTTTAATTGCATCTAGGATCCAGTTCTTGCCGACCTCTTCAATGAGTGACAAGCACGGATTGCCTTTGTTGGTACAGTCCTTGTTCCAGAACCTAGATAATGCTAGGACTTGTCGCACGACCCTTATCACATCCCGATTCCTTTCTACATCTTCTAGAAATGTGTACAGATAAGCATAGTGTGTGTTAGTGACACAGGTTACAATTGTGTTGTCATTTTCAAGTTGAGGCTGCCAACGGGGTTTCTTGACAGGAGAGCCTGACGTTGTACCCAAATAATCATTGTCATCATCACCTCTATGATCTCCTGTCCTGCTGCGTTTTTGAGTTGTGTCGTGATCATTCTTTGTTTCAGTCTCTGACACCTTTGCTTCGTTCAGTGTTACACCTAGAATAGTGTTTGATTTACCGTTGTCTTCCAATTCTGTCGGTGATGAATGATCTTCAGGGTCCAGGTTGGAGTTAGTGTTCTCCGTGACACCTGACTGCACAGCTCCACCAGTTGATTCTACTTTCCTACATTTACTGTCACCTGGGGAATGAAGTGTCTGATGACCACGCTTCTTTCGTTGAGGAGCAGGCTGTGCCTGTGTGTGGTCCCCGATATATTGCACTAGAACGTGTTTCAGAGGCTGGTTGTACAGATACGATGCTTCTCTGACAAAGGCCCTTGTTGTTGTCTTGTCCTCGGTGTAAGCCTTGTGGTACTGCTTCACTATGACTGGACTTGAGCCAGGCTGCTTCCGGGTTCCATCACTTCTGAAGTGATATTTGTCATCCTTCCAGATATCTGCAAATAGAAAATAACATCATAACATTGCAAACAATGTTGTAATCCTGAAGATGAACTATACCTCAAAAAGCTGTGTGTGTTAGTGTGTCACCTGTGATGTTGATTAATTAATAAAACTGTGAACAGTCAATAGTGTAACATAACTCTAAAATCAACCCACCTTAATGCCAAATCAGCTGTAAGGTCATGCATAAATATGTTGTATTAGAGGTTGTGATGATAAATACCATGTCCTTTTTTCCTTCCCTGAGATGCAACACGATACTTGATTCTTGTTTAGCCCATATTGATTAATCCAACAATGGATTTTCTACAAGTTGACATCAAACAATGTTCATTATTTAAGTACACAATTGTTGTAAAGGGGATGGAAAGAGTAAAAAGAAAAACATAGATAGAAAATATTGCAAAAGAAGTCGTTTTAATAATGATACAGACAAATATTCTTAATTCATGTAGTCACTTTGTGCACGAAAATCACTTGTTAACAATATAAGCGAACATAAAACCGGTTATCACAGGGCTGTACAAGGAAGCTGATACCAGGGCAGGGTGACTCCGACGTCAAGCAGAATATTACTAATAACGTACATGTATATGAATGTGGCTTTTGAGGACATTGGTCATGTGTGCTTAACAACCCCAATGAATTCAAATTGTGTAATAAATAATATCAGCTTTCCATGAAATATTAACATTGTTCATATGTATTAATCCCTGACTCGTGGTGATATTAAGCCTGAACACAACTGCCTCACCTTCTCTCATTCCCGAGGTTATCTTATAGAGGTACACCTCCCCTCCCTGGGGTGTGGCGGGGGCAGTCTGGATGGTCTTGCTCTCATCTGGACTCCTCAGAATGTTAACAATCGCCTCCACTTTAAGGGCTGACGTTCTCCCTGTAAGGTAAGGCTCGGGTGGTTTCAAATGGGACGCCATTTTGTGAGTTATACCCATGAGTCACACAGCCGTGATACATGTGAAGGATAAAACCCGTTCTGAGGTTTTGGTTGAAAATGTAAACCCGCCTGGGAGGGAAGATCCTAAGGGCCGCAATAACGAGGATTTTATATGCGATATAACGAGACTATAAACGCATCCGTGAGCTGTGTTGAGTGACGACTACTGGCGTCATGCACGTGCTGGTCGTGCACGCACGCATTGCCCGTGAGCGTCTCCGTCATAATGTGGACAGCTTACAGTCGAGTTTTTCATTTACTGGCAAGATGTGGGAGAGAGAGGAAGGTGACGATTTATTTCTCACACAAACGAAAACTAAAAATGCCGACCTACACCGTTTCTGCGCTGCTGCAGGAAGGGTGCCTGCAAAGAATATCATTGTAAATGTCAACTTGAATTAAAGTGAAGAAAATCTAGTATTGCGGGTTTTTTAAAAAGAATATAGGGTATGGAAGTCCTGGGGACTTACTGTGGAAGACCCAGGGACTTGATCTGAAATATGTAACTTTTTATAACGATGAAAATCAAGTCCCCGGGTCTTCCACAGTAAGTCCCGGGTTTTCTACGCAAGTAAAACCTCATGTGGGTCTTTCTCAAGTCTGAAGAAACCTAACGATCAATACAAATGAACACTCTGAGGTTTATAAAATCGGTTGTTCACTTGAACCTGTAGATGACAAAAGGTTATGTGCTGAACTACACCCAAGCATGAATATTCATTATGTACCCTGTATTTGTCTACGCATCAGTTATATCTTGTTATAACGCCTCAGGGCTTCATAAACGTCTCTCCTTGTACCGCATGGGACGTTCTGTTTTTGGTTTAAGGCAGAGCGGGACAACTTAGGAATGGCCAGGAGTCCGAACTTGACCACACAGAAGGAAGCGAGCTACAAAAACATGTTTTATATCACTGGAAAGCTCTCGAGGAGACGAATCCAAATAATGTGTGTCCCAGTGTGTTCCCATGTTCATAAGCTCAAAAATTGGCTCAGAAAATGCATTACTGCAGAAATTTCTGGCCGAATTTTTTTTTTCTGCAGAAATTTCTGGCAGTATTTTTTTTTTCTACAGAAATTTCTGGCCGAATTTTTTTTTTTCTGCAGAAATTTCTGGCCGAATTTTTTTCTGCAGTAATATTTAGCAGAATTATTTTAATTCAGGAGAAATAAGATTCAATCATTGGATAGTTAATCCTGGAGTTGCTTCAAATGACCTTTTTCCTCAAAACAAACATTTTTAGTTCACATGATTACAAGCAATAAAATAAAACTAATTTCGTGAGATATTTCAAAAAATTATTTATTCACATGCTATATTACAAGACAATTCCTTGGGAGACTTTGCACTTTTCATTCTCATGAATGAGTCGTATTTTCTTGGGTGAGGTGATTTTTTCAGAGATGGGTCCTGTCACAAAAGAAAATAGATGTATAGATGAGTGGATCCATATTGTCTAATATAATGGATAATGGCAGCCTATACGCAGCTAGAGTTTAACTTTACAATAGAGCCTGCGGAATAAAATGTATTATGAATGTAAATAGTGTGCTTTACTTACGTTTTCTTCTCGACATACTTGAAATGAATTCTTTTTTTCGTCTGGTCATTGAAAGCTATGTGCACATATTCTGAAAAGATATGAAAAAAACATTAAAATGCTTTTCATTTCAGTAATTAACACATTCCACAAGCTTTAGGCACATGAACAAAGTAAGATAAGTGAGGTGAGTTGAAATTGGGTTGAATGTCGCGTCCAAGATAATTGCACTTATATAGCATGTGCGTGCGTGCGTGTGAGTGTGTGTGTGCGTGCGTGCTTGTACTAGTCGTCTGCATCTTCCGTTTTGTATAGGTCACTCCATCAGTTGTCAGTGACTGCATACTTGTGTAGGGGGCACTCAATGTTCACACTGTCATGAAGCTGAAATTATATAAGGATGAGTATACTGCGAAAATTAAATTGGATTAATTCGTTAAAAGAGACTTATGTATCATGTTTGGGAGAGGCATTCAGATTAGCAAAATTTGCTTGTTTGCCAATCCCTCCACTTTATGGAAATAAATATGTTTATATCAAGAGACTTCTAAACCATAACCGAACTCAAAACTAACCCCATGTGTCGTAAATGGGTGCTCTAAGGTAAAAGGATTTGGATTTGGCAAGGGTTATCAACCCTTATGATCGGAAAGGGGGTCCAAGGACAAAGGAGAGACCAGACCTACTATCCAGAGGGGACAGCCTGGTACAAGACTTAGTGTAAAGCTAGCCTAGTCTATGTCATCAGCAGCTGGTCACTGCGGCGGAATGTGGTTTTGGCGTTGCTGTTCAAGTTCGAATTTCCGATAGGCCTGTTTCCACTAAAAAATAAGATAAATTTTCGGACAGCATAATCTGGTGTCAGATCTTAAAAAAGTTCCTAACGACTGTGAAACCATGGTAAGAAGTATTATTATTATTGAAGCAACCTTCCCAAATGTGTGTGCTGCATAAGCCGGAGTGGTTCCCCTTGAATTTCCAAAATATGAATCGACAGACGAAACGAAAATTAGTTCGCTTGACATATCCAGTTGGGGGTTATTCTTGTTTAGTTTGGTGGGAAAATGATATGAAACACTGGGGTCTGACTGACTGATATAGGAGATTTAACGTGCGCTTTCCGACTGTAGCGTATTTCGCACACGGGTCTGTCCGGACCATTTATTGTATTCCGAATAGGGTGAAAGTGATGTGTGCAACCCAAGAGGGGGCTTTTAGGGGTTGCTTATATTGAAGTTTTGGAATTTTTAAATTTGGAATAAATGCCGAGGTGGGTGGAGGAGGGAACTAAGGGAGCCGGGTGAGGTGGGTGTTTGTATGTTTATTGGATTTTGGATTGGTAGATTAATTAGTTTTTAGATGCGCTTAATTAGGTCTGTTTTGATTAGGAATACGCCTAGGGCCTTGAAGTTTTCTAGTTTATTTTGAGGGTTTCATCTAGAGTAGGAACCTTATTTAGATTGAGGGTGGTTTGTAGTGTGGTTCTGTGTGTTTGGTAGTGGGTGCAGTGGATGAGTGCGTGTTCTGTGGTTTCGGGTTGTTTGCAGTGGGGGCAGTTTCCTGTGGTGTGTCTTTTAAGTTTTTTTAGGTGGTTATTTAGGTTCGTGTGTCCTGTTTCGAGTTTTGTAATAAATCTGTCAATTTTTTTAGAGAGGTGTAGGATTTTAGGTTTGGCTAGTGGTTTTCTGAGCACTTTTTTGATTTGGCTATTTGAGTTTTGATATGGATTATGCCATTTTTTGGTTATTTTTTGTTTGTTTACACTTTTAATTTCTGATTTTGAGATGGGTAGGTTTAGGTTTATTACTGGTATTTTGAGAGATAATTTAGCTGCTTTATCGGCGCTTTCGTTGCCGTAAATTCCTACGGTGGCGGGGATCCACAAGAAGGTTATTTGTTTGCCTGCTATTTGGTTTATTAATTTAGGTCGTTTTTTTGTATTTTTGTTTTGGAGGGCTTTTAGTCCACTAAGAGAGTCGGTGAGAGTTAGGATTTTATTGTTGTTTTTAGATTGGGGCTGCCCAAGGACTAAATATATCATACAATTATTGAAATACCCGTTTACATTGTGATTGTCGAGTGACCCTGTGAACAACCAACACCCTCCTTTAACCCCCCCCCCCCCCCCCCCCCCCCCCCCCCCCCCCAAAGTAGCACGCTTAAGGTTTTCAATATATTCGATAACATACTACTTAGATGCGAACTGTTTAATTGACAGCTGTTAATTGGTAACGGTCAAGCCTCAGTGAATTTGCATTGGGAGTGTGTGTGTGAGGGGGCGTCTGAAATAAAGGTGGATTCAGTCGGAATAAAGATAAGATAATGATCTCATAAATTTTATTGAAGGCTTTGAAAGTTTAGGATCGGCGAGACCGTAACACAGAGTAATTAACAAAACGATCACGTGATCGTGGCGCTGATAGACAATACCCACCGACCACGTGCGCGAGACAATGTATCACCGTATGAAGTGACAATACCCGAGGATATTTAATTGCCAAGTTGGCAGGAAGTCTGGCGGCACGGCACGTAAAAATATGCGTCGTTTGGGTATTCTAAATTGTCTCAGCACCAGCTTTGATTGGGCAATAAGAGAAGATGATATATATGTTTATTTTAGGAAAACATTACTACAACAATTTGTTATATTAATAAACATTGGGTCTATAAAGTTATTTTTATCTAAATATTTCTAACGTTATAAATAATAGAAAACTCGCATGTAAATTATCAAAATACTGCATGGATTGGTATTTTGTAATTTTCTGTGTTTTCACTGATCACCACAGGCAAATTCATGGTCACATAGCTACACTTCAAGTGTCGCCATACAGCTACAATCAGTTGCCTAATGTACATGTAGACAATATACAAGTCGCAATAACACCATAGGGGATGGAGATATCTCCTTTTCAGATTAGATTGTTTGCGTATTTTTTTATCAAAAGTGGTAGAAATAAATACACTAAAATTAGACTCTTACAAAACGCGTTTCGCATGGCAGCAGAGCCAAACATTCACTGTTTGGAGTACAGGTTGTTATTTGGTTGTTGTTATATGAAATAACCGTGTTACCAAAATCCACGTTTTAGGGTCGGCGTTTCCAGAAATAAAACAATATATATATTGTGACGTCTTACCTGTATCGTAACTGCAAGACGGTAACCAGACGCTGTAACTCTGCTGACTGCACGTGGTTCGGGATCTTTGCTGTGGCTGAAATAAAGAGTGCTATGTTTTACAGAAAGAGACCACGTTGCTTGTGCCATTGTGCAAAGACATTGTGCGTAGGTACGATTCTGAATATACACGAATATATACAAGTCACATGACAAAGAAGGTATTTACATGAAAGATATTTCAAATCTCGATGTTAGAGACCTTGAGAAATGTAGATTTAACTGAATCCAATCCGATTTAGTGTTACTATCATTCATTACAAATGGATAATACGATATTGCATTATAGAGAGGGTAATTAAAGCTACCTGAAGGAGCAACCATATGTCCACTCTTTGAAGTTGCAGCCAAACCGGACGCGTTATTGTAACTCGCAAGAACACTGTGTACACAGCTTCTTTCTAAATTTGGAGAAGCGTAAGTGTGGTGAAAGAACAATATGAATGTAAGTCAGGCATGAAGTTGCACGGAGGAACCAACGTGAGACTTTATAATAACATGGTTGTTCATATATGTTGTTTAATGCGTGATAGGTATTACCGCTTAAAAGGTGGTTTTGTATTTATAATAAAAACTGATCGTTTACATTTAACATAGAATATAAAAATAGTTTTGTCTGGGTAGCAACATAACTGTTGCATAGGGTATGTTGTTTAATGATAATACTATATGAAAATTCCTCGAGCCAGCTGACTTACACTATGGATAGTGTACAAGACAACAGTTATAGAACATCACGTGATAAGGTTGATGGAAATGGCGAAATATTTATTTACAATATATTTGTTTCCAGGGGAAGAGCCTGTTACAAAGTCTGTGTCTAAAAAAAAGTAAACTCGCTCCTTGTCGGACAAAACTGAATGTAATTAAGTTAACTACCTATGTACATTATCAGTGGAGTACTTGAATTAATATCAAATTGTAACCCGAGATGCTGGTGCCACACCTTATTACGTGACCACCCAGTGAGGCGTGAACACTCAGGGGCATGATATACACCCTTGTGTTTGATTTGATATACCAATCAGCCGTGGACGCCCGACCATAAAAATGGTATATATAGATTTAACCCTAATCAGGTATCGTTAAATATCGTTAAATCGTCGAGAACGTTCTGTCAGACGATCAAACGATAACTATTCAACCAGTCGGTAAATCACATCGAAAACCCAAGTTCTGGTCGCAGTGAGAAGCTCTGGATGCCTTGAGGAGGGTTCACCAGCTCTGCTTCAACAACGTTGACATGGGTAAGGCATTTTATTCTATTTTTGTACACCAAACACTGTATATATCTTGAAGAACCTTTGCCTTCTGTTTGGATCATGGTTTCTTTATGAACATATGTTGGATCGTAAAGACGTGTAAGTTTCCCTAAGACCTAGAACGGGTGTTTGATCGTAAAGATGTGTAAGTTTCCCTAAGACCGAGAATGGGTGTTTGATTGTAAAGATGTGTAAGTTTCCCTAAGACCGAAAACGGGTGTTGGATCGTGAAGCGAGAGTCACCAGAGCGTGAGGCACGGTAACGGTATAACGAGACAGCGTGGCACTATAGCGCGGTAATTGAGCGGATGGTAGAGCTCGGGCTGCGCCCGGTAAACTGCATTGTTGCCGAATAATTATAAGATTTAATGGGTCATTATTGTGTAATTGGTATCCAAGCACAACATGTCTTTTTGTGATATTTCCTTTCCAGTTTCCAGTGAATTCTATGCTTGTCTTAAGAGGCGACTAACAGTATCGCGTGGTCAGGCTCGCTGACTTGCATTGATGCTCATGATATGAATCTCTGAAATGTCTGGTCCAGATTCGATTAATTACAGACCGCTGTCATATAGGTGGAATATTGCTAAATGCGGCAGTAAACAACAAACCAAACCAAAACATATATTACTGTCTACATATCCCATTGGTAGGGAGTTATGTAGATTCTTATTTCGAAACCAGTGGAGCTTAGTATCCACAGTGCACATATAGGGGTTACGTTATTGTAGTTTGTCCAATATTATTAGTAAAGGATGTAATGGGATTTGTTTTGTAATGGGATCGTGCCATGTATGTCAAGACATTTGTTTGTACATTATATTTGTAACACACGTTTAGAAGGATAGAAATTTATCTTTGTCTTAGCTAAATGCTTGTTACGGCCCTGTTGAATAAATTCAATGTTTGTCTGGTAGGCTTGTCTAATTTTGGAGGAATTGTGGATATTTGAGAATGGAAATTGGCAATTGTTATGTTTGTATGACAATCCAATTACATTAAAGTTGCAATTTATGTATTGTTCAAATATTTATTTGACATTTCCAGGACCAGTAAAGCTGCAAGACTTTGTCGGCCAGTCAAAAGTGGACGCTGCAATCCAAGGTATCACTTTTAGTGCTATCATGAAGATAGTTATCAATGAAGTATTGGTATATGACTCCACATACAATATCATGTATAGCATATTTTTTCCTTGAGGCTATACTATACAATTCAAAGTAAATGCTGAAGTCACATGTGGTTAATATTTTAATAATTTATGTAAATTGTTTTAAACCACATTAGAATTGTTTTGAAGCAAGTATTTCATGTCCAGTTGCTCATCCTAAGTATACAAGAATCTGCACACAATGTTGAAACTTTTTAAATGCACAAGATTGATTTTTCTCTCAATATTCTCAATACTCAAATCAGTATTCTGTAAAAATAAACAAGTTTTGTACAATTTGATTTGTTTTCATAGTGATAATACTGATGTAAATACTATTTTCAGGTGAAACTTTCTTTCTCATGGTGGGGAACACGCATGAAGATGTGGATCAACCGTTTAGTGTATTTGCAAGGGAACTTAGACAGAAGCCTGCAACAACCCGCGATGCCCTCCTTCAAGATTGGGGACATCCGCACACCCACCACCAAGCTATCAGACTTCAAGCCCTTCATGCCTGCCCCAAGGGAAGCGACAACCCTCCCAACTAAAGTTCAAGAGGCAATAGAGAAGAACAATGAAAAACTGCAACAAAATCAAAGGTAATTTCAATAAATATTGCATTTCTTTTGAAATATGTATTGTGATGTGTAATATTAGGGTTAGTCAGCGTTACTTAGAATATGTGTAATGTGGGCAGAGAAACAACCCAACTTCATGAGGTTACTATTTTTGCTATAGTTGTATAGATGCACTGTGATTTTAATTATGTTCTCATATTCTTTACATTTTTTTTCTTTACTTTCAGATCACTCTGACAAAGCACCGAAGACAAGCGTCAGTATCAGAACAATAAAGAAGGAGCAGCACGTTTTGCTGAAATGAACATATTTTTTGTCTAAGCTATGTGGCTGAGATATTGCCGAGGATTGCATTGCAGGAGTTTTGTACTTTGTATGTTTTTGTTTCTTAGTAAAGCTGTGTATTTAGAATTGTATATATATATACATATATAAGATGAGATGTGCACAATGAAATTTATGAAACAATATATGCAGTTATATTGTAAAATCTTGGTTGTGTTCTATTTTTTTCCATGTCTGAAGTTAAACTACTTTCAGAGTACCGTATATCACATGTAGGTTGTTTCTTTGAATTCCAACCGGGGATTATATATTTGGTTGGCCCCATGGAATAATTATGAAATTTATTTTTGAGAATCACATTCACCTTTAATGTTGTACACTTCAAAGTCGTCAAAAGGCCATTGAAGATGGTCACTGAAATTCTCATAATAATTTAGATAATTATAGGGTAAGCTCAAGGTTCAATGATTTGCATCTGTCTAGTATACAAAGGTATGAGGCCAACATGTTGTTCCATTGTTTAATTCGAGTGACGTCAACTTTTCTTGATAAATTTGGTAAACATAATACCAAGATAAATATCTTCAATTGCTGAATTCAATTTAAACTTTCCAAAGATTGATGGTTGAAATTACTGCAGAAAAAAATTCTGCCAGAAATTTCTGTAGAAAAAAATAATTCTGCCAGAAATTTCTGTAGAAAAAAAAAATACTGCCAGAAATTTCGGAGAATCACATTCACCTTTAATGTTGTACACTTCCAAGTCGTCAAAAGGCCATTGAAGATGGTCAAGGTATGAGGCCAACATGTTGTTCCATTGTTTAATTCGAGTGACGTCAACTTTTCTTGATAAATTTGGTAAATATAATACGAAGATAGATATCTTCAATTGCTGAATTCAATTTAAACTTTCCAAAGATTGTAGTCATGTGAACTAAAAATGTTTGTTTTGAGGAAAAAGGTCATTTGAAGCAACTCCAGGTTAAACTATCCAATGATTGAATCTTATTTCTCCTGAATTAAAATAATTCTGCTAAATATTACTGCAGAAAAAAATTCGGCCAGAAATTTCTGTAGAAAAAAAAAAATTCGGCCAGAAATTTCTGTAGAAAAAAAAAATACTGCCAGAAATTTCTGCAGAAAAAAAAAATTCGGCCAGAAATTTCTGCAGTAATGCATTTTCTGAGCCAATTTTTGAGCTTGTGAACATGGGAACACACTGGGACACACATTATTTGGATTCGACTCATTGAGAGCTTTCCAATGATATAAAACATGTTTTTGTAGCTCGCTTCCTTCTGTGTGGTCAAGTTCGGACTCCTGGCCATTCCTAAGTTGTCCCGCCCTGCCTTGTTTGTTGTTCAGTGTGTGGCTTGCGGGGAAAAATAAAGCGAGTCTGCCCAGAGAGCGGAACATAGGTGGTTCGAACCCCGGCCGCGTTTTACCAAACGACGTTAATTGATGATATTTGTTATTACCCTGCATTATTTCTGCAGTACACTGTGTGACCATATTTCAAGATTGAAGATTGTACATGTCCGAGTAACAATCAAAAAAAGCGTCAGTCTTCGTGATCAGGTGAATCCACTTAATATACATACTTTGTTGTGGTCAACTTGTTTTCAAATCAGGTCCTGATCAGAATATAACAAAGTATTACAAATTACAATATTGTTGTCTGGCGAAATGAGTAGGGAAATGTTACTCAGTTAGAAACCTATTGTTTTCAAAGGTTTCTGATATTGTAACAATGACCTCTGTTGATCTTTATTGCCTGGTTCAACCTATGCTCACTGAGAGAATGAGTGAGTGAGTATGGTTTTACTCCGCTTTTAGCAATATTCCAGCAATATCACGGTGGGGGACACCTGAAATGAGATTCACACGTTGTACCCTTGTCAGGAATAGAACCCGGGTCTTCGGCTTGACGAGCGAACGCTTTTACCATTAGGCTACCCGACCGCCCCCTGACAGAATGAACTCCACGTCACCGAGGATTGTTTTTTTTCAATTTTCATAATCACCTGTACCCCAACTTACACAGATAATTATACTTTATAATAATGTCTTCCTCCATTGAAGAATCCCAGCATTGTCTTTGTTCTAATGTTGAAATTTGGTTGATATGAGTTTGCTTACTTGAAAAACATTGTATCAACATTGTTTCAACTCCGTTCGATATAGATATATTCAATAACAATTTCGGCTTAGAAATTGAAATCGGATTTTAGGATTATGGATTTCAAGTGTGATCAGTTCAAATACTGCTCTTCGTTTTCATCGTATACCTATGTCAATGTCATAGACACACTGATATATACATCGCCAGTATTGCTGAAGTAAATTATATATATCTGGCGATGTAGATCCTATCAGCCACATATATGATACATAAACAGCTTTTCAAATGGTGTTTATTGTTCGGATTATCCTGATATTAATATTATCCTAATATCAATAATGTCTTTTGAGTATTTAAGTTTTTACTTAGTTTCTGTTCATAACATTATTTTCATTGGAATAACACATGTATCTTTAATCATTACCTTGAAATAAATGTGATAGAATGGTTTTATATAATATCAGCACAGTTTGGGATGATGGGAAATGAGAACGACAGGCACACCTCATGATCTGATGAAGGCTTACGTGTACATGCTTCTCAAATACATCATGTAGCTAAGCGGATCTATTATTACTGGAGGACGTGAAATTGTACCCATGAAATTTAAAGGAGACAGCTCATGTTTGCTTGTGTGTGTTCAGCATGGTTCCAGGTCACATCGGGATCAGATTTGGGTGTGTCAGGATCGAAAGTTTGGTAATCGAGGAAGGAACAGTTGTGCATCCATGTTCAGAATACATGCAGATTGTACAGGTCTTTACGAAGTTGAGTGAGAAGAGTCTCGTCCTCATCAATGCACTGTGAAGACGTAGTGTACGATTAACCGGGTGGACATCCTCAACATTCTCTAGGGACAACGCATATTGTTGTGTAGCCAAGTATCTACGTAGTTTACTCTTGGGAAACTCTAAAACGTTGAAATAGCGAGTGACGATACTGGATTCAATGAGTTTCCTGGACATAATATGCAGCAGTAGTATCTCAGATGAACCGTAAACAGTATTGCAATCAATTATGTTCTTGTGGATGTTTACTTCTTTTGTCAGCTGTTGTTTGTCATTTTCACCTTCCCACACACAATGACATGCAGCCCTAAACACTCTAAGGATATTTTCGCCCACTGAAATGATATTATGAAATAAATTAAATGCCATGTGCAGTACCTGTTAATCTTGTCAGTTACACCTCCCCGGGAAGGATACTGCATGCACACTGCTGTCACATACATTAACCAAACAACATAGCTGCCGGAAAGGTTCAGCTTAATATTGTCCACATATGACGCCTTTACATTGTGTATGGCTTCGCAGGCCCCGTTTTCCTGAGCGATCTTAGCGCTCCGACTGTCGTAGGTCTATGCTAAAGTGTGTGAGTTACGGTCGCCCTGGTCCTGGTGCTACGATCGCTTTGTATGAATGACAGGTGCTACCGGTAGGACAGGACATGTGCACCCTTTCCTCGAACACCTGGTGTCATCATTGATTTTCAGTGGCACATTCATATATTTATTTATTCTCGTGCATTGACAATTATATATTGTGGAACGGCGTCCTACCTTCGATGTTAACCTCAATCGGTGTCATAGTGTACGAAAACCACTTGCGCGTGACATCATAACTCCAACGAACCTTTTGCCAGTCACTGCTACAATGTATATACGCCGGTATGTGCATCCATGTAGTGACATATATTTATAGCCTTGCAAGGTTGACGTTTGTCGCATTTTCGGACCTAGATCGGTTCAAACACTGTACCGTGGTTGTCAAAGGGGCATGTGCAGTTCGTGATCAGGTGTTACGTATTAGTTTCATTAAGGAACGGCTATAAGCCAAATCCTTAATAGAGCTTTGACTGCTCCAAATTAACTACCGACTGTTTGAGTATGTTTGCATTGAAAAAAAGCACCTTATTTATTCTGTATTAGAATAGTATCGTTATGCGTACGGGTGTGTTTTTCCTCATTATCTTATTTGATACATTTGCATCATAAATTTATTCCTGATTTCAAATACAAACTTTTGAAAAATGTGCCATGGCCTGTAATGTAATCCCCACTTAACTTCCTTTACATGAAGGGCGATAACACAGCAAGACACCATACACTGGGCTCGTATATATCTATTACACAGCGCTAGGCTGGCTAGACATCACCACAAGCTCTGATGACTCTTACATCATTTGAGGCCTACATTCTGTGTATTGGAAAATCGAATTTGACACTATGTTTACACTATTGGTTCGATCGTATTAGTTGTGCGACAGGGACAATCCCTATTTATGGGCCGCTATTTATAGACAGGCGGACGATATCTCTCCTGGCGAAGTCAAGTGTGTAGTGAATGAATATGTCAATACCTGGCACACGTTCTGTCGGATTTTTCGGATGATAAGAAACGTGTGCTGAGAACAACAGGCAAATGTTTTCATGAGTTGATGAAAGCAACACGCTCAAAGTAAACAAATAGATCATTTAATAAAACAGATATATTATTAATGATAGAAATTAAGTGTCAATATCATTACATATCCGGATGCCCCTTTACCTACACGTACACTCTATAACCGCTTGGCTACCCACCGCCCCAGTATCAATGCACACGATGTGCATACTGATGATTCAACTCAAACCAACCAGTCGTTTAATGCACCTGGACTAGAAAGCTGGCCCAGTGAGTGAAACAGGTACTTACACCGTCACTGCTATTTCACCCACACACACCCCCCAAGATTGAAATGGCTTATGAAATCCGAAAATCCGCAGTCCGAGAGCCGGAACAAGATTGTCACATCTGGTCGCTGTCCCTCAGCGCCTACTACAATTCTCGCCTTGCAAGTAGGGGGAATCCCCTTTCCCTATTCATAGGTGTTAAAAGTAGTTGTACACAGTTGTCGCGGCGACTGAGGGATACACATGTGTGTTTCATTTTCTCACTAGACGTCGTAGATATATGCAGCATGGGTAATATTGTTTCATACTGGTCCAGATTCAGATATCAGGTAGGTGAAGATTCCCTTCACGTTATTTCCCTAAAATTAATGAATGTCAGCGTGACACTGTTCATCAGTGTTTATGCGCGTCCTCGTGTGTACACGTGCAATTGCGACTTTATGTTTTTTTATGTATACTTGTGTATGTAACATTACCCTACTTCTTGTGATGCTACAGTTCTCAATCGTGGTTTAAAACAGGCATAAAGTTTACAATATGCGGGATCCAAGCGTCACCAGGAATATGCCTCATTGTGTTTATTTTGATTCCAGAAAATGTCCAAGACAGACGACCACATAACCTGCTATTACAACCATCAGCTTGAACTGAGAGGTACGTTCAGTCGCATTAATCGTTTTACTAAATGTAAGATATGGATTGTGTGTCACGTTATGCTTTATCAGATGCAAGCTTGACATTATTCCCATTGTCTGTGCATCCACCCAAACGTTTTCTTTTACGTTGTGGTACATTAACAATATCTCTTTGGTTTTTGAGTGAATTTAATCTTAAGATTAGTTAAAATAACGTTGAATATTGATAGGGAATTTAAAAATCGACAGTCAATTTACAACACGCACACACACACACGCACACACACACACATGCATTCATGCACTCACACACACACACACACATACATACACAAACACACACACACACATACACACACACAAACACACACACATACATTCATACATACATACATACATACATACATACATACATACATACATACATACACAACACAAACACAAACACAAACACACTTACACACACACACACACACACACACACACACACATGCATTCATGCACACACACATACACATGTGAACAACATGCTTATTGTGAGATGATTCTTGTAGGTACAACACCCTGGAACCAAGCATATGCTGTGAATGAAGAGAGGCTGAAAATCCCTGTATCTGAAAGAGATCTCAGCCTTGTTGCAAGTCACATTGGGATCGGGTTTGAGTGTGTCGGCATCGAACTTAGACTTACTCTCGTGGTTATCGAACAAGTCTCGTTTGCACATCTATGTTCACTGTACATGCAGGTTGTACGCATGCTTACGAAGTGGAAGGAGAAGAATGGAAGATCTGCCACCAGCCTGATCCTCGTCAGAGCATTGTGGAGATGCAACGAGAAATGTACGATTCAGTTGGAAGACTTTCTGAACATTCTTCAGGGACCGTCCACTATGTCAGGTTAATAAAGTGCTGCTCTGAACAACCTTCTCAAGTACAGTTATCACTGATTTATTGATTGGGAGGATATTCTCAACATCCTTTAGGGACTAACATCTATTTCTGCATAGCCATACACCTGCATGTATGAATCACATTTAGAGGAAACAATCACTTTGAAATATCGAGTCGCGATATTAGATTCACTGAGGTTTCTGTGCACAATTTGGGATCATGACTGAATTGAATGATTTTTTTCCTCGTGCAAGTTGCGCACTTAAACACTTCATCATATGTACAGTTATCATTTTATTTCCGTATATAATATATTGTGGTTGTATTTGCATGTTAATAAACGGCTATGATGTCCTTTGTAAGAACTGGTCATTCCGCCTCTTGTGATATTCGCGGAACAGTGACTGAGGGATGAAAAGCTGTGCCCGAAACGTCATCCGAAAAGCCGGAAACACAATTGCCTCTCACATAACAAATGTCCCGGCTGTAAAAAGGTGAACATTCTAAATATTCATGCCTATTTTCTTCTTCGCAAATCTAACAAATAAAAAGAAAAGCGATAACATTATCATGTATTTTTTAATTACTATCACATATTTATGATACCAGGTGTCAGCGAAAAGGTGAGCGTGTCCTGTCCCACTGGTTGTACCGTCTTAAACACATTCAAGCGAAAAGCCAGTGTAAGATGTGACTGTTCTCTCATCTCTACACTACAGAAACACAGTGGGTCCAACAATTCAATTTTATGTGTATAATATTCAACAATAACCCTTCTTACATTTTATAACTTTCATAGGACTAAGTATTTCAAGTAAGGTTGAACTATCAAAGGCCTGTTCAAGTCATTTCAAAGATTTTGTGGAAGACATTCAGAGGATTTTATCAATCATAACACGCTGCTTGTCAACATCATGCGTGAGGCTTTCCCTTGCCATGGCATTACAGGGACGTTTCACTCCTCCTAACTTAATGGCACTCATTTGAATCGTCGTGGCAGGAACATTGCACACTTACTTTAGTAAATTTGTGGGAGTGTCGGGCCTCCCAAGTAGAGCAGGACATGCTCAACATTTTCACGAAAACCTGCTGTCATCATTGTTTTTCAGTGATCCATTCATATTATTACACTGCATCGAGACAATCGCATAATCTTTTATATCGATTTTGAAAATCCGAAAATTCGAAGATCCTTGCTGGAAGCGAACATGAACGATAGAGAAGTAGCAGTTTCAAATTGTGGTGGGGATTCCCCAATTTGCTCACGTGAAGCTGCCAGTTCTCGATTCAGTCAGATAATTTCAGGTTAGCGTGAGATACAGATATCATTCTGTCGTGCACCTCAGGAATTCAATATCAGGTACGTCTAAACAATTTTCTAGTATATATTATAAATGTACAATTTGTAATACTTGAACAGCACTCGACCCTCAGAGTATAGCATTCTAAATGCATCATACTGGGTGTTATTTTACCGTGATTGACCAAAATCTGTTAATATTATCATTGACTATGTCAGTGATAGTCAGCAGCTCAGTGATGTGTTTACACAGTCATCATTTTAATGTCAACATGACTTTGCAGATTATTTATCATTCCGTACGAATGAAATTATCAAGTGGAGCATGGTGAAAGATTAATGTTCTCTTTGACCATGAGGGTGCATGGGTGGCCCAGTTGTCTGAGGCGCCGCGATTCGCTGTGCAGAATTGCGTCCCTTTGGCACGCCAGAAACCTATGATTGTGGGTTCGAATCCCGGGTTCGCCCCGATTATGTTTCTAGGTTTGTTAGCACCATACTCGTCCTCGTGGGTTTCACCGAAGTGGTCAACGTCTTAAACCTCATTCACTTCGGGCTTTCCTCCCACATTAAGCTGACACGCCGTGATATAACTGGAATACTCTTAAAAGCGGCTTTAAACCAAACTTACTCACTCACTCTTTGAAATGAAATTATCAAGTGGAGCATGGTTAAAGTTTCATGTTTTCTTTGACTATGAAGTAAAATGCACTTCGTGTCAAGAAATGATTCAGCGTGTGAGCTTAACACTGTTAGTGTGTACTTTCTATTGCAGAGGCTGACAAACAACGAACTGACCTGTCTTTGTATTCAGCAGATCGTAAAGAAAGGTTTGTTTTACTCATTCCTCATAATATCTGTTTTGAAGATTGTATGAATGCATTTTCTTCTGAAATTTTCTGGTTTTTCTTTTTTTAGCTGTTTAATAATATAGTTCGGTAACTGAGTTAGGTTAATTCAAAACATATGATATATCAATAAAATGAAAATCAGAAGTCAAACCAACTCGTTCAAACTCCCTCAGCTGAGAATCCCTGGGTAACAACATCTCTGTTCTGGCTGAATGCGTTTGTTTGTGAGGCCATCGGGTCTGGAGTTGCCTTTCAAATGATTTGCGAAACGTTGAAACATATATAGATTTCTGCAGGCTTCTTTGGAATTGGTCAGGCTCCATATAGAAATGCTCTATATGTAAAGCTGATTCATGATTGTCCCCTGTGGTTTCCTGTATTTCTCTTTAACTGTTTTACTGTACTATGTTTTAGCTTCCCATGCACATGTTATCATTTCAGTTATTTTTTCTCTTTTCAATGTTTTGTCGGAATAACAGCTCTCGGGAACTAATATTATAATCTTACATCTAATTACAGCCGTTAAATAACATTTTGTGCATCTTGTATTTGTCATATAGGTTCAGCACACTGTGTTAACGGAAAACTCAAGACTCCAGTGACGAGACGAGATCTCGGACTTGTTGCGAGACATATCATGATGGGATTTGAGCATGTCGGGATTGAACTTGGGCTATCCAACAGGGTAGAGTTGCACACCCATGTTCAATGTATATGCAGATCTTGATTATGCTCACTAAATGGAAGCAGTGGAATGGCAGTTCGGCCACCTATCTGGACCTGGTCAAAGCACTATGGACATGTAAAGAGAGATGCACGATCGAATGGGAGGACATTCTCAACATCCTGCAGTGGCGGCCCTCCTTGTCAGTGTAATTGCACCTCGGTCGGAGAAATATTACAAGAAATGAAACTTTGTTTTTATCATTTCGAACATGACTATCGTCATGCCTTTTAACCTTCTTCAGAGATATTGTAATCTCACCTCTACTTTACAGCGATCAGTAAACAGGGGGCATATCATCAGTCATCATGTTTGGGAAATAAATATATTTATCAAAGAGGGATGCACGATCGAATGGGAGGACATTCTCAACATCCTGCAGTCACTGTAATCTCAGAAATAATAAACATTCAATAAAGCATCAACTGATTTTGTGGTGGAATCATGATATTTTGATATTGATATCACCACTCCTGTACAATGATCAGATGTGTCGAGGTAAAAGTGGCTATGTGATTTGCCTTCATGTATGGCAAATATATATAGTTATCACACCTATCGGGGGATTTTTCCGCTCCCTGTCTGGCCTGTGTAATAGTATGAAATACTAAATTCAGAATGCTTTGGATTCCATTTGATCTGTGAAATATTGCTCAGAAATATACAAAGAATAATGAAAGATCGTAGTCTTGTGTTTTATCTTATTTCAGTTAACTTCAATTGGAAGGAACATACACTACATTGATGAGCTCGGTAATGCGAACAACAATGATTTGTCACATATCCGACATTTCCACGGCTCAAGGTGGTGTCTTAGTAGTCTGATGCGTTGCAGATAGCTGTACATAATCAGCGCGACGAAATCCTATGATTGTAAGTTCGAATCCCAGATTTGTGCTGATTATGATTGTTTGTTAGAAACATACCCATGATCGGAGGTTCTGCCAAAGTGTTAAACGTGAATGATCTGCGCTACAGTTTTCCTCCAAGTTAAGTTGACACTGCAAAAAAATAACACATACTTATGGTAAAGTCAGATTCGAAAAATCTGCTTTACGTTTGGCAGATATTTCTAATTATTATCTGTTCTGTTCCATCATATCTCCATTTCAGAATGTTGATATATGTGTTTTACGTGATCTTGATAAAATACTATGCATTCTGCCTGGATGGAACATAAATGTCTCAGCGGGAGAATAATCGCTTATACCCCGCCACGAAGAAGACAGGCATCACGTGATCCCTGATCGGGAGAATGAATCCCTTCAACCTCGCTTCGAAGCAAAAAGCCGCATGCATTTTTCCGAGTCAGAGAAAGTCGCGTGACATAGCACAAGTTATCCTCAGCTCAATCGAACATCTGTTTTCTATCACTTTGATTTTGCTTCAATTCTTTAACAAGTGCAACGTGTCAGTAAGATAAATTCGTTTTAGCAGTACCACGAGGGGTTCATGTGGTTTAATGCGTCCCGCCCTATGTTAAATACCACGAGCCGGAGGCTTATAATACTTCCACCTCACAGTGATAGCAATGATAAAAAAATATTCAAGTGTTTGTAAACAGTACTCAGAACATGTTCGTAACGACATGCATTTCTTTTCAGTAAGCCTTTTCACGACAGTCCGAAAATCCGAAAGTCCTGAAACGTCGTACCGCCCGCTTTACTTTTTACGCACAATTTAACTTTAACAGAGTACCACATACTACAGGTGATGCATAATTCTCACACGAAACAGAATAATAAAAGTAACCACTATTTTGTATGCAGTCGTTATATCAAGGTTTTTAACATTTTAAATATTATGTCCACATACCACAAGTGCATCAAACTTGTCATAAACGTTATTGTAATGTTGAGAATCGAACCCGACGTAGTCGATCGTCAAGCCATTCAAGTAAG